GCTGCTCGGGCTTTCCTACCCGGATACAAGCAGGGTCTGTCTCCTGAGTGGCCGCGGGTGAGCTGAAGTCTGCCTAGTAACGGGCTTCTGATTGGTGGGGCGGGAGGAGGAAGCGGGAGTGTAAACGAGCCTGTGCGTGCAGCGTGCGTGTGTGCGTGTAGGGTGCACACATGTAGCATGAAGTATGGACACATGTAGCATGAAGTCTGCACACATGTAGCATGCATTGTGTACACATGTAGCATGAAGTCTGCACACATGTAGCATGAAGTATGGACACATGTAGCATGAAGTGTGCACACATGTAGCATGAAGTCTGCACACATGTAGCATGCATTGTGTACACATGTAGCATGAAGTCTGCACACATGTAGCATGAAGTATGGACACATGTAGCATGAAGTCTGCACACATGTAGCATGAAGTCTGCACACATGTAGCATGCATTGTGTACACATGTAGCATGAAGTCTGCACACATGTAGCATGCAGTGTGTACATACGTGGCATGAAGTATGTACACATCTAGCATGAAGTATGTCCACATGTAGCATGCAGTGTGGACACGTGTAGCATGAAGTATGGACACATGTAGCATGAAGTGTGCACACATGTAGCATGAAGTATGTACACATGTAGCATGAAGTATGTACACAGGTAGCATGCAGTGTGTACACATGTGGCATGAAGTATGGACACATGTAGCATGCAGTGTGTACACATGTAGCATGAAGTATGTACACATCTAGCATGAAGTATGTCCACATGTAGCATGCAGTGCACACACATAAAATGCAGTATGCACACATGTAGCATGAAGTATGTACACATGTAGCATGCAGTGTGCATACATGTAGCATGAAGTCTGTACACATGTAGCATGCAGTGCACACATAGCATACAGTATGCAGACATGTAGGATGAAGCATGTACACATGTAGCACGCAGTGCACACATACAGCACGCAGTGCACACATGTAGCATGCAGTGCGCACAGCAGTTGTGCACGTGCAACGTGTGCATGTGTGCACAAAGCGTGTGCGCGTGCACTGCACGTATTTGCCCTGTGTGTCTGCATGTGTTTGCAGCGTGTCTGTGCAGCACATGCAGTACGTGTTCGTGTGCACGACACGTGTGCGCACGTAGTATGGACACGTATGCAGTGCGCGTGTGCACTGCGTGCAGCGTGATCACGCAGCGTGTGTGCAGCCCGTGTGTACACGGGCAGTGCCCGCGCTCCCGTGCCTGGTGTATAAACCAGGTTTGTTCCTCCAGGAGAAAACACCCCCAGCGCGGAGCCAGGCGGCACCAGGGGCGCGTTGGGACAACCCCGTCTGGAAGGGGGGTTCGCGGCGTGTCCCTCCTCTGGGTATAGGCTTGTGTTCGGCTCCAGGTCACACACCAGAGTCGAGGCGCGACGGCGCGGCCAGAGCTCGGTTTATTTCCCGGTCACCAGAGAGGTGCCGCTCCGGAGCTCGGGATGCGCCGCGGCCTCGGGGGCTGCGCGCGGTGCCTAGACCCAGATATCGGAGGTGCAGTCCCCTCCGGGGTATCGGATCTCGTGCGCCAGGCAGGGCCCGTCGGGCTCCCTCCCAAAATCCACCAGGAAGCTCTGGTTGACCGTCAGGCCGCCGCGCTCTGTGTCCACGTCCAGCTGCAGCATGACGGAGCCGTCCCTGCGCAGGGCGAGAGCAGGAGGCTGGGGGGAGCTGTGCGGGGGGACCTGCCCGGGCCCTGCCCCTGCGTGTCCCCCTTTAGCTCGCACAATCGCCCGTGTTCATCAGAGTTTTCTTACTCAATGAGGTTGGGGTAGAACTGCCTGTCCCAGGCGCTGTAGAGGGACGTGGTGACATACAGCCTCTGCCCATCCAAGCTGAGCTGGATCATTTGGGGTCCCCCCGGCACCCTCTTCCCCTGGGAGCAGACAGATGTGCTGCTGGATGGTGCAGGACAAGAGGCCGCTCCCG